TTACGTACTTATATGACATAGAACTTATAAGAATGGTACTGCGTTGGAGAAAAATTGACCTAGACAATACAGAATTAATTATAAAACGAACATAATTACTATACAGAAAAAACAATTCATGTTATACGTTCAATTAAATTATAATTATCTGCGATATACGATAAAAATATGGTTTCCATCTTATTTCATATTTAGAAATTTAGATACCTAGCATAAGTAGATATACTCTTAAAATTAACACTACACTGTTATAGTAAATTTACTTTACATATGCATAGCAAATATTTAGCTAACCTTCGCATTCGTGACCCTGTCTCCGAGGGCATCTAATATGTATTTCCTTTCTTGGTCTGAGATCCTTGGATGTTCATTCGGCGTATCTGCTACCAAATACCACCAGAAACCGCACCATATTAAAGTTAAAGCTGAAGGGACATAGAATGCTGAAGCCCATCCGAACTTCTCTAACAATGGTCCTGTTAGTGACCAGGTGACGACTGTCCCGAGAGTGCCTCCCATCATAGCACTCACAAACTTTCCCTTCTCAGCAGGGGGCGCCCAACGCGCCACGAGAACATGTAACGCAGGATAAATAAATCCCTGAAATTAAAAGAATACATTTTTTAATAAAAATCTCATCTGTTGTGCTTTAAAATATTCAAATACTTTAAATTAGTTTAAAAGCAGTTTTTCGTGGTCAAATTGGAGAATGTAAATTAACGAATTATTATGATTTTGCGGTTTTAGATTAGTTATTACATCAATTTCCGTATTCACATTTCTGCATCGATATACTTCGCATATCGATCGCTATGCCTAAAACTGAAGGCAACAATAATTTCCTTATCTGGTATTATTATAGATATTATGATTCCGTCAGACCACGATTTTTCCTACACGAACTAGGAATTATGATTTAGTAGAAGTGACCTATTATATGTGCACAATTACTCAATCAGATATGACAGAATCTCATCAGAGGACTCTACAACTTGATTCTAAATAATGCGAAAAAAACAAGCTTATTTTATATTTTGCTCAAATGATAATTATTTTAGAGGGCAATAGCCGCCACAAACTCGCCTAAAATAATATGGACACCAATATCTATCAATATAATATTTTATAAACTTTAGCAGCAATAACAGGACAATTTATAAAAAATGTTTAATAAAAGGGGGAGTAAAAGAATGGTGAATTGGGAACTATTACTTAGCGAAATAATAGTGTCCGAAAACATGTCGAAATATAAGTTCATTTTTTACAACACCAAAATTCTCTTGCGCTTTTTTGATACTGTATTTTTCCATGCCTCATCGACGTAATGAACGCAAGTATAATGCAAGTGTCCATCATGTTTTAAATATATCTATAAAAACGTGGAAAGTTACTACGAGTATAATATAATTAAAATGGCACTAACCCGCCAACTTTAAGCTTTTGACGAATAAATTAATAACACATTGTCATCCAAGAATCGAATTATATTAAAATAAAGATCAAGTTCCGCTAACCGGTAATTATTTTATGAATAAATTATGATATACTTGTTTGTCTCATGAATTAAGGATAGAATTTTTTAAGTGGCTTGGACGATGTAGGCGCTCTGAATTCGAAGATCGATCTTGCGAGACATTCTTTATGTTAGTTTCCAGGTAAACATTATTATTTATTAAAAAAACAAACTAGTTAGGTACCTAGTTATTGATATTTACTGGTGTAAACTATGTTGGTAGGGTCTCAAGGTGGCTTACTGATTCAAAACTCGTATCATATGTTTCATGCGTAATTCTGATAAAATATACATATGACCAATATTAAAATACATAAAATATAGTCATCGAATATTAAACAATGCTTGTATTCATTCGCTCGGCGCTAAGTTATGAAGCAAACAGTTATGACGTCACGTCAATAAGTCTTCATGAATATTTGCCAACGAACAAGTTATACTGTGAAAATCTTTGCCAGTTTGTACGTTTCCTCCTAAGTTTATACTGTGTTTAGTATATACCTTTTTGTATTAGGGGAAATCAACATAAAGTCTGTGAATACAAGAGTAGTTATGCACATTTTCCGTAACCTTGTTAGACACTTAAAAACACACACTAGTACCGATGTACTAGACCCAAGCACCATTATTTCTGACTAATATTGTAGTTGTGAGCATGAGTACAATTTAAATTTTGTAAGATTGCTTCTAAATTCTACACCACAATGAGCATATTTACAAGTCTGTTATTAACAACAAATAGTATACTTACACCAGCAAATCCAAGGAAGAATCTCGTTACGATGAGTGCTATATAATCATATCTCGCGGCGACAGGTCCGAGAGCTGTGAGTATTGCACTGGCCAGCGAAGTGATGAGTACTACGTATCTAGGTCCATAGCGTTCAGCAGCCATACCTCCTACTAAAGAGGTGATGGGGTAGCACCAGAAGTAAGCGCCCAGGATCATCGCCTGCTGGTCTGTAGACCAGTTAAATTGTGCTCGTCCGTTATCCTGTGAATAATAACGTTTTAGTAAAACACCAGGTGTCGCTGCAATAGAGTCTTCATTGAATTATTTTTTAGTTATATAATAATCAATTCCTAAGCAAAAGGTACAAGAAATAATTAGAGAAGGAACTTCAATTTTTTGCAGTTTATTTTGAAGATGTATTTATTGATCATATCCAAAACATTTTAGTGCATAATTTAAGTGTTTATTTTAAACTTTATGGTTTTACTGTAATTAAGTAATTCAAAAGGAAAAGATTTAGTTGAAACTCGATAAGAATAAAGCTATAAATGTAACTTATGTTATCATTTGTTTTATTGTAATTCATTCAGATATAGAAACTTAATTTAAGTTGCTTCTGATAAGTTAGTTTTTATTGTTAAGTATGAAAGAAACAAGTTATAAACATTCCTAGAATAACGTAGTTTAATCATTTTCACGGTATGTGAAATTCAATTACAAGGCATTATATTGTTTCTTCGAGAAATATTGTTAGTCACAGACGATCGTGGCACTATTATTAAAGGGTAATTTAGAATTAATCTGGATCCAACGACGTAAATAAATTGTATTGATAGATTGTTTACGTTGTTGTATTTTTTTTTAATTAATTAAAGTTGTTATTACACATATTATGCGTAAAATTATTTTAAAATGCATGTAAAACATTAGGAGTATTGATACAATAAGTATTTAAGTGGAAAGGGGTCTCAAATGATAGGGTAAAAAGTTTTCTTCAGTATCAACATTTTGAATCCTGAAAGTTACTAATTTTTTGTGTAAATGCTGATAAAATATTACATTTCATATATAAACTATTAAATAAATATGTAATGAGGATTGCGTAATCGAAATAAATTTCATTCGCCATATTTTATCTGTGCTAATTCAGCTACAATAGAATAACGTAATAAATATGTTCTATTAAAAATTGGATAATTTTATATATCTACAAGGCAACTTAAATATATACATTACCAAATATAGCAAATACAATATAACAAGGTGATATTTTACTTCAAATCAGATGCACAAATATATTACGTTAAGTCAAACAAAGTTCTTGTGAGCTTTGAGTTCACAAAGTTGATAACCGGAATATGAACTGTTTTTGTGCCTTGGAGAGATATCTCCGATTGAAAAATATACTTTAGTATATATGAATTCATAATTTTTAATTAAAACGGTATTTTAAGTGATATATAAAAATTTAGTTATAACCGCACTACTAAAAGTTTACTGATGGAAACCCTTAGTTTAGATTTATGAAAAACTAGCTGTTCCCATGCGACTTCATTCGCATGAAATTATGAAAATTGTTTTATTGATTACATTTGCCAAATTCAATTGTAAATGTCAAAACGACATGACATGATGGCAATTTCGCTTCCTTGATGTTGGCAGCATTTTATGGTCTCTTTCCCACATTAGGGTTTTTATCCCAAAATATCTACCCCCCTAAGTTTAATGTCGTGAAAATATATAGCCTAAAGCGTGACGTAAGTGTAGGGCTTTTTATTAAAATAATAATTATTCAAAAATATGTCGTTATTGCTGACATCTTTGGCAACAAAGAAGTATGTGTTTACGCTTTATTATAATAGTATAGACTACTAAAGTCTCCATACTACCTTGAGTAAAAATAAATGCCCGATTTTAAAATAGCTTATTTATACTTTGTCAGTGCGGTATGATGTGACCAAGTCTCAACAATACTAAGTCTGAAAATTAATCATAACTTAATGGGAACTTAACACCATTGTTCCGTTAGTTTGTATAGACTACGACATAACATTGATTAATTATTTTGACTTTTCACGTTACTTTGTCATTACGACTCATTCCGGGTTCACATATGTATATAAATTATTCATATATTAATACTTATTACCTGTCTTGGAGCTTCTCTAATTTCTGCGATGTCAGCATTGTGTATACTCTTGTTCACCATAACATCGTCTTTTGAACCGCACTGAGATTGTACCCTGTGTTATAGAAAAAACGTTAAAAAATATGTTTTATGTAAGAAGACATTTTTTTTTATTTATTTAATAACGAGAATATAGCATCTTTACAGAATAAATCTAATGTGACACTATATCTACATATGTGATAATACATAATATTTAAAGTAATAATAATAATATTTTAAGTTAAAAATACAATAAACAACTGATAATGAAGAAGAAAAAAAAAACAAGTTGTACACAGAAATCAAAAAGAAGAATATAACAACATATATCTAAATACCACAATTTGCCTCGCCCTCCACACATCTGTATGCAGCCTCTGTGAATTGGGTGACATGGGTCTCGCTAGACGATGATCTAGGCTAGGTCTAGGGTGGCAGCTATTTTATCATTAAATTATAATTACAATAACAATAGTATTACAATACTTCCTACTAACGTAGAAATATTATGTAATTATGCTGTAAAAAAGTGTATCTATGAGTCATGGAAATACAATAATGAGAACAGGAATCCAAAATCCAGAAGTCGAAGAATATCTTTAGGGATTGGTAACAGACTAGACTACTTCTCTTTTTGATATCTTGAAACAAATTAAGCAATTTTACTTTCTGTACAGTAAGATATATTTGCATAGGACATCCCCACATGATTTATTATACTATACATTTTCCTTGTTTCACTTTCCTGATGCAACTTTTTAATTTTCCTTGAACGTGAAATTTTACTTATTTTAATGAGTTTCCTATTAAAATAACCATTGTAAATAGTTAAAATATATTATTTAGAAATCCAGACGTTCGGCAAACTAAAGTTGTAACATACATTTAACATGATATGGGTATGTTAAGAAGACTTTAAGTATAAAGTAAGCGAAAGTTGCAAAAGCCACTTGCAAGTCAATCACCTCTTTAACCAACGTATTAATGCCTTCACATAGGAAGCTCTACGCCTGTTTTTGCGATAAAATCAGTATAAATTAAAATACTATTAGAAGTGTTTACCGTTTAGAGTACCATACACCATTATGTTATCTTCAAAACGATTTGTTTTCCTCGTTTACCCAACACAAAGCTTAAGCCGAAATATTTACACCCGCATGATTTTTGTTAAGCGTTTTTCTATGTACATTTTAATCTATTCATATTTTAACGATATTATAATTGTCATAATTAGACATTTTCTACATCGTTAAGTAAAAAAAACTATCGCAAAATGAACAATCGAAGCACATAATAGCAGTTACAACTACTTTTATTCTACAAGATAAATTTAATAAGAGCTGGTAAAGTTTGACTATAATGTTTGTACTTACGAGACATTTCTAGGTGTGGGTGGCACCATAGCGATAAGATTTAAACTCATATTGACACGGAGCATGTACACGACCCAACAGCTTGTGAATATCATCAAACCCAGGTTCAATCTCGCGGGGATCACGTCTGAAAACATAAGAATAACTATAGTTAATATTATTTATGTAACACAGTACCAAAACAGTCGTCACACTTCTTACCGTTCCAGGAATCTCTCGAGGAAATCTCGAGGAAAAATCTACATCAACTATTAAATAAATATCGAAATGTAAATGGTACGATAAACCAACATTAATCTACCGCTTAAGTAATAATTACTAAACAATTCTAAGTTCTACAAAATTTTGAAATCAATTCTTCTGTGCTTATTTGTTCACATTAAGTACTTTCTTCCGTCTTCATCTTCCTCCTTATCCTGCTACCGTAAGGTCGGCACAACAGGTTTTTGTTCTCCACATATCTCTATTATACGTCATCTCAGTCATCACTCCCTTCTTGATAATGTCGCCTTTCACGCAATCCATCTTTTCCTAGGTCTACCTCTACCAGTGTACCTCCACACTCATAACTAACGTTCTCATTGTTACATGCTATTCATCTCTCGTCATAACATGGCTATGGGCATGGTATACCATGCTAACCTTTTACTCCTTACTTTCTTTACCGCTGGGGCTACTCTCAAACGTCCTCTAATATACTCATTTCGTAATTTATCCATTCGAGTAGTTTCTTCCGTGTAAAGAATAATAAATCCTACAAATTAAAATAGCAATTGATATGTAATGTTATTTAATAATTATTATTTTTCTAACATTTTAATGAAATAAACTACATCCTACTATTGTGAGACGTACATCTTGTCACGTACAATTAATCTATTGTGACGTGATGTAATACTATAATGCGAGTGCACATTATGTCAATCGTCCAACCGCACCTAATACTTCACAAGTCCAAGTAAGCGTGGGTTTTCACCACCGAATCACCCGTACATGGTTTTCCTTTTTTTACAAAAAAATAATAGTAATGGTAACTACTATTTGATCGTGGTATTACCAGTGGAAACGCACGGTAATCGTATGACGATTTTCAGAATCGTTCATTTCCATTGGTTGTGAGGATAATGCACTTGTCTTTGCAAGGAATAAATAAAACGTAAATCATAATAAAGCGATACAATAATTTGTGCTTTTTATTTTAGTAACATAAAATTGTTTAACACAAATACTTTAAATTATCTAACAATAATTTAGAAACTTTAGAGCAAAAACATTTTGGGACTTCCTCAGAATAACCTAGCAAATTATCAAAATCTGCCCGGTAATTTGTAAGGTAGGGATAGAACAGAACACACAAACCTTGATTAAAAATGTAATTGCTCAAACATTTCCACATAATTGTTTAACAAATTGTCAAATACAAACGATACTAAAAGCAAACACGTACAGACCGACGTGACAATGATATTACACAAATTTATATTGTTTCTCATCACACAATCATACCGCATGCAATAGATATAGGTTCAAATTACAATTAATGATAACTAACATATTTAATCAGGCTAATTTATTGACAAAATATACATAAATAATGACTTCAGATTGAAAAATTATTGCAGCTTTCAAGTTTCATCATCATCATCATCTTTCTCCTTATCCTACTCCCTCCACATGACTAACATACGTCATCTCAGTCATCACTCCCTTTTTGTTAACCTTTCACGCAATCCATCCATCTCTTTCTAGGTCTACCTCTACCGGTGTACCTTCACACTCAAAAGTAACGTTCTCGTTTAACATACGATTCATCCCTCCACATTGGCCATACCATGCTAACCTTTTACTCCTTACCTTCTCCACTACTGGGGCTACTCTCAAACTTCCTCTAATATACTAATTTCGTATCTTATCCATTCGTGTTACCCCACACATCCATCTTAACATTCGCAATTCTGCCATTTGTTGCCTCGTTTCATCCGTTTTTTAAAGTTTGTGAATGTTAAAATAATTGAAATGTATAATTGTACTCTTTTCATAAGTAAATTTTCCTCTTTAAAATTATCAATATATTCTATCTTTGTGCCTTTTTCCTCGCAGATAGTACATTTAAAATCTATTTCAGGTGTGCCCGCTTTAAAATCTTAGCACGAATGGGTCGGCACGCCCGGTGTAATACCACGACCACACAGAAGACAGGCGTGAAATGGAAGCAATTCGGTGTTTCGTCTGATGAGTGTGGTGCCGGAGGCCTAATTTAAGTCCCTTTCTCTTTACCACCCTTTTCTTTTAAGGAGAGGTTGGGAAGAGGAAGTGGATTTGACGGTGGAGGAGATGCATAGGAAGGGGAAATATTCTCTTTATGTGCGTCTCCTCCTCCGTCGTATAAGGGTAGGCAACGCATCTGCAATTGCGGATGTCTATGGGCAGCGGTCGCTTCGCCATTTTAGCGGTTTCAGGTGGCCGCTTGCTCGTTGGCCACCTTGTGTTAAAAAAAAAAAAAACTATACATTGTTATTATCAAACGTTACCACAAACTACATTTATAGTATCAATTTAAACTAAATTTACGTTTGCTATTGAGGAAATGAGTATTCAAAACACAATAGTTATTGTCGGGACGTTTTAGAACGGCCTTGAGTATGGCTACGTCTCCTCCACTATTATGTGTAGCCGTTCGGGAAATTATCAAAAACAAAAACTATACGTGAATCATATTTAACATCAGAAGTATATATGAAAAACCAGATTTTAGAGCCGGATAAATAAAGGACACTTTACTCTGGAATCATTTCTCATAATTCTTTAATTAGCTGTCGACGTCGACATTGCCTACTATTGATTTAGGTGAGGGGAGCATGCCAATGATTAAGAAGGAGCGGGCAAGAAGTTAGTAATACTCTTTTATTCCAAAGAAAATGCTTATCAATGTGTGGGTTTTAAGACTTTTGTGAGACAATCTTTTGTTACCTACTAATGTGGGTTTTCGAAGTAGTTTATAATGTCTTCTTTACATTTTTCGTCTAAAACTAACGGTTTTACTTTTAATTAAAAAGGTACATGTAAAACTAACTTAAAAATTTGTATTATTATGATGTAAGGAAGTAATGATACTGAATAATGGCTTATTATTATTTTTTATGACGTCCCGACAAGAAATGTTAATTCAAATACGAGATCCTTTTAGTTACGCTTCGTTGAATAGTTTATGTTAATAAGATGACGACAATGTTAAGTTTAAATGAAACTCGAAAGCAAATATGAAAACGACGTTGAAAATCCGTCACGTTCATTTTAGTTTTTACATAAAATATTATTGCTATTCTACAGGAAAAAACCATGATTCAAAGTTAGAAATAATAGTAATTTAGCCAATTGATAATTAGAACAAATACGTTCATGTTACACAAAACACATTTTTTTAACACAAGCTGTTCCTGTGCGGCTTCGTTCGCATGGAATTATAAAAAAAATATTTTATTGTTTACATTTGTTAAATTATCAATAACAAATGTGAAAATGACATGACATGACAAACGTTGGTCAACAACTTATGGTCTCTTTCCCACATAAAGTTTTTTATCCAAAATATTTACCCCTAAGTTAAATAGTGTGAAAATATACAGCCTAAAGCGTGACGTAAGTGTAGTGAGTACGTAGTATCTTTTTTATTAAAAAAAGAATTATTCAAAAATATGCTGTAATTGCTGACATCTTAGGCAACAAATAAGTGTGTGTTTACGCTTTATTATAATAGTATAGAAGTATAGAATAGCTGTTGCCCGCGACTTCGTCCATGCAACATTAAGATAAAAAAGTAGCCTATAATATGCCTGCCTATGTGAGCTACCCTTCAGTGAAAGTCCGGTTTGAATCGGTGCAGCCATTTCGGAGTTTACCCGGAATAAACGCGGCTTGGGGGCATACAGTCAGATAGACAAAAAAAATAATGCGATTTACGATTTCAGCAACGCAAAAACATCATCTTCCCGAAATCTGGAATTTTTCTTTTGATATTACAGTCAGTCCAATTTTATTATAGTTTTATATAGATAATGTAATAAAGGATTTACAAATAATTTCATTGTATCGAAGTGATAAAGATATTATGGGTACTAAAAACGTGAAAGAAATTAATGATGTCGAAGAAATGCCAGCAAATCAAATACTGAACGCAAATCGAGATAAGAATCCAATAAAAATCACGTACGAGTCGAAATGAAACTGAGTTGTACATTCTTTTATCGGCGCTTCGTGGCAGCTGTGAGCGTCAACAACGGCCAGTATTTAATAACACCCCGAGGCTTCACTGTTACAACGTTAAATGTTGACGTTAAAACTCGACGGTGGAAACGAAACGATCAGGTTTCCCAAACACATAACAATTCTTTTAGTCCGCAACATCGATTGCGATGAATTGTATACCAAAACTTCAGTAGCGCATATCTTATAAGACTCAATGACTTCGATTCAGGATGCATTTCAACTTTAGAGGTTTGAAAGTTTCCTAGTGAAATTGGTAACGTTGAGCGCTCCGGTGGCGAAAGCGAAACGGAACTAAAGCGAAGCGAACCATTTTCTACACAATACTACCATAATTTCGGTTTTATGTTGAGCTTATCCGTGACATAAACGATTCATATCCATTTCTTTTTTAACTTTTTTTCCGATTCATTGCCAGGCTTACCTAACTGAAATAAACGAAACACTTTACCAAACATTAAAGGTTTTTAACTCAATCGAAATTAGATTCTACCGTGGTATGTGTATTTATCCAACATATCTCATCCAGCAAAAAATACTATCAATAAAAACCGATTTCTCGGAACAACTAATACGATCACATTGGATTTAGATACAAAAAGCAAGCATAATCATTAACTGTTAAGACAAAAAATACGACTTTAAAATAAATACTTAATTCTTCTTCTCAATTCAATAATTTACAAAAAAAACTTACAGTCACTTAATGGCTAAAGCATATTTCCAAAAGTCGCGAGCCGAGTTTAACTTAAAACCCAGGATAACAGTAAAAACTTCTTTTAGGCATTAATTATCATTTATCAACCTCAAAAAACACACATTATTACTTATTTAAATGTCTTCCTCATTCTAAATGTTATCGCATACTAATAAATTAATTTGCAAGAAAGTTATATTTAGTTAACATGTGTTTTAACAATAATAACCTTAGTTCGAGATTTTCTTTAACGAAATGTTTCCAAAAGTTATAATTTCCTAGTATAATCAAACGGGGTCTATTTGTTTTAAAGACAATATGTGAAAACAGCAATTTATTTAAACGCCGTTATGCCTTGGTACAAATACGGTATGCAAAGAGAAGAAACTTTAAGCCCTAATAACCCGACAAACTTGTTTGTGAGTAAAAATAGATCGTAAGAAATAGAAATGCGAACACCAACGTATCTTAGTACCTAGATAAACAGAAAATAAAAGGTAAGTACCTCGCCTAGGTCAATAACATTTCATCCATAGAAAATATACCTCTAGATGATGCTTTACACGTTAGGAAAAGTTTGACATTTTCAATTTTCGAAATGTGTGCGTGACGCAAAAGTATACGTACAGTAAATTCCCAAATTCGGAAAAATGTACTGATAATTAAAGAAATTTAAGATAAAAGATTTGGTAAAATGTTAATTCTTGTTATTTAATTATTGAATTTAACTAAAACAAATGAAAGCCTAAAGACAATCATCATCAACTTGCCTTATGGAGGGTCGGCACAATATGTGCTGCTCTTCCATACATCTCTATCAGCCGTCATATCTGAATCGACTCCTTTCTTAAGCATATCCTCTTCCACACAGTCCATCCATACTTTCTTCGGTCTTCCTCTTCCTTTGTAGCCATCCACATTCATTCTTAACACTTTCTGGTTTATGTCCCCATCGTCTTGTCGCATAACATGTCCATACCTCGCCAACCTTTTGCTTCTCAATTTCTCTACCACTGGCGCTACTTTCAAACTTCCTCTAATATAAAGTCTAAAGATAATATGGAATTTTATTTAAATTGTAATGTTTTAATTAGTTTTAAAAATATCAAAAAAATGAATGGCACCACTTGGGAAAGCATCAAAAGGACTCCAGAGTACTTCTAACACGTCTCACTTTCGTGCTCCATACGCTCCATCTAGAAGTAAAACTATAAATCTATGACTATAAAATTATTATAATACGAAACATTTACTTTAGATTGAGCTATTAATAAAATTAATTACATGATATTTATCATTATAAAAAAAAACTAATATTTAAACGTGTAATACCGGTTTTAAACATTCAAAAAACTTGTGACGAAAATTTATTTTAAACTAAAATAAATTTACGAGTCTTTGTTGTAATAATGGCTACTTTTTACATTAATTTAAGGAATTACGTACCAATTATTTTGTACATTTACACGAATACAGATTCAAATTAAACTTTTTCTTCGAATATTATCATGGGTGCAAAGTTACAAGGTAAAATGGATAAACCCGCTAAACAGATTAAATTCAATGATTTTTGTTTAATATCGCACTTTTTAAATACAGATACAATTAACTTACATACTCATCTAAAAGCCTTTAATTTTTTTATGTACAACAATAACGTATTATTAAGCATACCATCTGTCACTAGCATGTTCCTCCACGAGAAATTAAAATGAAAAAAAAAATAATTGTTATTGCCTCTTGTATTCTTGCGGACTATATTCTATATCTGTCTTTCGCATTCTTTCGCATCTATAATATTAGTAAGATAGTTAGACAATAAAAGGTAAGTCTAGTTTTCTAATCTTAACGGAAAATGACGTCAGTAAACACTACATACTTTGGTAACTCTCCCCTGTCAACATAGATCTATTTTTAGTTTTTTTTTCTTATTTATTTAGTGACTTTACTTAAATCGTACAAAAAGTAAGCCAAAAAAATCTTTAACGGTTGTCGAATCACATTTGTTGTCAGCTTTCCTGTTGTGATTAGAACTGCATTACCCGTTAGGTCTGAGAATACCGGTCCATTACCAATTATATCAATAAATAAGGGTTAGTAAGAGCACAGATTACCGCATTTACAACATCTTAAAAGCATTATTGACATAAAATAAAAAAAAAACAGCCAAAGCGATTCTGTTATAATACTAATTGTACTAAAGGCCGCTCCATACTTGCAGTTCTGAACTATTTGCTTAAACATATGGAAAGGGCTTATATCTTATTAATATTATAAATGAAAAAGCTTGAAAGTTTGTTACCACGTATCTCAAAAACGACTTATTGGATATCAAAGAAATTTAGTACAGAACATAGTCTGGAAGAACACCAGCTTCTTACTGTTTTTGTTTAATTCCGTATACACGAAGTCTTGAACAAGTAAAGTAACTGGTAACTTAAGTAAGGAATTTAACTTACTATCAATTATAATAAGTTAACTTTTTAACGACTAGCTATAGCTCGCGACTTCGTATAAAATTATAAATAATAAAAGACATAGCCTTTGTTATTCATTGATAAAATACCTTTTTAAAGGTGAAAAATACAAATCTATGCTCTTTATAACATTAGTATAGAAGTGTATAGATTAATTAAAACTTAGTTTTCGCTTTGCTAAATACTGTGGTATGTTAAATAAGTAATTTAAACAACACGTCTTAACCTTTTTGTGATAATCACACTGATTTAAATAAGTATCAAAAAACGAGTCGGTAACAGGATTTTACGAATGCAAAATTACGCACAATATATTTACTTAATTGTGATGGGACATATAACATTGAATACGTACTTAAAATGTAACCTTGATATAGTAAATATCAATTGAACAATAAAGTAACTTTAATAACGTGTTTATCCACTCTATACAAAAGTTATTTCGAATACAGAGCGGATGAGTACTTTAATATACAAATTTAGAGATATCGTATTGAATCCTTAACCATAGATAGCTTATTCTAAAAGATACATCATAAAATATCGTTCGATATGTTATTAATAGAACAACATCCATAGACTACATAATATGTCCTAAATTGTAATCTTGCTAATAAACAGGAAAGATTTTGATTTTTGCATGTATGGAAATAACTCAAAAACTACACTTTACACCATTGTCAAGGTAAATTATCTGTGACATAGGCTCTGTCTTTTATTATTTTTTTTATTTCACGGGGACGGAGTCGCGGGCAAAAGCAAGTACGAAATAAATAAGGCCTTCTAAAGACATACTTCGAAAACCTCCATGTTGGGAAAAGTCAACTAATTATGTGAGTAACTAAGATAAGTGAAATTTTGAATAGTTTAATTTCTTACAAATACAATGTTATCTAAAAAAATATTTATCCTTGTTCAATATGAAAATATACTCTTAAACATTTGTACGTATCCTACGTAAACATTGCATGTCTAGAAACTTTCCTATGACCTTATTTTTAACATATAATGTTATGTTTATAGTAGAATTGCGTCGAGTATACGTCCTCGTACACATTAGCTATAAAAGAGTGACTTGTCTACAATTAACTATTTTAATCGCAATGCCAAAGAGAAAATGGTGATGGTTTTTGGTGTAGATTTCTGCCTAATTCAAGTAGGATTTGTTATAACCGAAAACATTTTCTATAACAAGACTTTTGTCTGGGCTGTCTTTACTGTGATGACAAACAGTAGACGATCGAATTTCACTGTAGATGTACATTGATGTTAGTGGTAATCAGATAGATTACAATTATTGTAAATGTCTATTGCCCAAAAAACGTAAAAAACATGTCTTTATGTCACTTTTTTAAAATAGATCGTGCAAGACGGCAATATTTTTGTACAACTGTTTCTGAAATCAACGGTAACAATTGGTGAAGCTCAGTGTCATGTCTCATACAATTTTATTATGATAACATTACGCAGGTAACTTGTTAAAAGAACAGTCAATTTTCCTCTTAAAACTTCACTCATAATCGCATATAAATTACATAAAAACATTTTTTAGCAATATTTAAGTCTGTTGCCAGTCTTAACCTCATATATATGTACATTTCATAATTTAGGTACAAATCAACATTTTTTTCTATAAGTAATTATGATTAAAAATGAAATTACTACCATCTTTCCCCTTGACACATTTAATTTTAATTACCGCCACTTATTAAAAGGGATTGACAGCTTCAACTTTTTTAACAGCAATTTTCTTGAAAACCGTAGTTTCCTTTTAAAATAAAACAACTGTTTTATCTTTTGAGTAAGCTAAAATAGTTAATTTTAAGAATTATTTACGTATCCAAATCTATGCTTATTGTAATCCCAAAATACATTTTTAATTTCACGCTTTTTTTAATTTAAGATTTTTTTACTCTTGATTTTTCAAAAATAAAAACTTTACAGTAAATATTTACATTGAGGTTATAATTGGAGAGGGTACAAGTAAAATACTCTCATATAACGTTAAAATAATTAAACTAATTCATGTCACAATTCTCATAAAACGAAAAACTAAATTAAAAACTCAAAAAAAAATTACTTACCAAAAACTTTTAAATCGATCACAGCCATATTCGAACGATTTATTTTATTCGTTCGCAAATTTAACTTGAACTCACGCAGCTCATATCGCGTTCATTTTTAAAACGAACGAATAGTTAACACGCGTGGACAGCTGATGACTGAATGCAGAGCCTGTAACCAACGATAGCAGCTGCAGCCGGACGTAGTAACGTAAACAATTATTATGTTACAACTAGACCTTGCCTCCTTACCATGGGTTACTATGATTTACCTCAATGTCAAATTTCTCTCTACGCGGTGATATTTCTCATCTTAAATTCTCATATTTTACACACGTAATACTATTATTATAAATAAAATAATTTATGTTTTTATTTATAAACTGTAACATATCAGTTATGGACAATCTAACTCACGCTTGTATCAAAAGAAGGTAGTTCTCGATTTTTTTTTTTATTTTTCGTCTGTCTTTCTGTCATGTCATGTCTTTCTGGTAGACTGACTTTTGCTAATTGATTTTTCATTCAAAAGGTAATGTTTGCAGGTGGGTCCCTTTTTTATTTCAATGTAACTATTTATAACATTACATATCAATTTCTTTTTTTACGCTTATCTTGGGATTAGGGATATTATCGTATAGTAATTTTATTCAAAGGAAAATACAGCCTTATGCACTTATACCTCGGCATTACCAACCAAAGATAAATATATGCGCTGGGTTTCGTATTCAACGTGAGTATCGAATAAGGAAACAAAAACATTTTATATAACAATGGATACACTTTTTTTTCCAAATAATGAAATTTAAATTTCTGGCTCCATTATTTTAAGTAACCTCTTTAGGCGTATTTTAAACAATCCGATCATTGACCTTCAGTAAATTTAATAAAAAAATAATTATTAAGCGATTATACGCTATCGCTTGATATTTAAATACTTGAGTAATACAGTGTTTAATTAAAATGTCTCAGTAATGTAATATTCGCTTTCGTCCATGATAATTAAAAAAATAATTATAAATAGGTAGACTAAGTGTTCTTCCAGACTTTGCTCTACATGCTAAATTCATCGAGATCCGTTCAGACGTTTTGGCGGTAAACTTCTACGAACATTCATCTATACATCTAAACTTTAGGATAATATAATATTAGATTATGTTTGGCTGAACAAACATCTATTTAAAATATAAATTGTATATTAATAAATAGGTAACGCGCACAATAAAATTTCTTCATAATCCATACGTCGGCGGTACTTTTACGACTTCGACTTCAAGCTATTTGACGCCGGCATTTCAATGTGTATGTAATCTTAACACGGTAGAAGTGCGTTTTAGGTCAAAAGCCAAATATCGTTTGCTCAATAAAGAATCTATCTTATCTACTAGTAATGCTACATTTGTATTATAGCAAACCTGTTGATACAGGAACTCGATAATAGCTGAGGCCTTTGAGAAAATTTACCACATTGTATTTTATAAGCCCTAAAGTCTAGCGTATAAAACGTTACCTGTATAAAACGGGAACACTATTTATGATAAGTGCATCTTACTGACAGTAGTCAGAGACTTGTCTAGAGAGTACTCTAGACAAGACTTCGTACTATAATAGTGTTAGTAAAAAAGGCGAAAACAGGATATCGGAACGTCCTATACTAATAAAAACTTGTTACATGTAATAAATACGAGAGAAAAATATTACCCTTCTGTTAGTCCTGGAAAAAACAAGGTATTCAACCAGTTAAACATTATTTATAAAATACTAATAAAAACTGCCACTATTGTCGGTGTAACAGATGAATAGACTATTTGTTGCGGTTTAAATACAACGAGCTATTAATTTTGTTCGAAACAATCGAGTAATATTTATTTCTAGTATAGAAAAAAATACCTACATGTATGAATATTCAAATGACTTAGTACTTCATGTGAGACTGGATCCAGGTGGCATAGGGCCGAGGAAAGTGGAATATTATAATTTTCGAGGCTAAATGGGCTAAGGCATAGACTGGCAATACGACGAAAACGATGGAGAAAAAATCGGTCTAAAATTTAACGAACAATTTTCATCAACACATACCTATCTACTTCAATGATACATAATGGATATGGTCATCGATCCAACCACCTACTTAATAAAATTAGCAAAATATTAAATCTGAAAGTTTACAAATATTTTGTGGAAAATGTTAAAACTAAAAAAAGAAAACAACGGTTTTCTATATCAATCAATAAAAATTACCCAATAAATAAACACTTGGTCATCGAAAAAGTTATAGGACAATACTGGGAGACAGCAATTTTTTTTATTAATTTTTAATTCCAGCAACCCTACTTTGTGTATTGTCAATTATGACATTTGACATTGTCAATGTCAAGTCAATTCCAAAGTTCAACTGTCAAATAAATTGATAAGATAACAAGCAAAGACCCAAAACTTATCAAAAGTAGATATAACTTCGAACAGTGAAGTTAGTGAAAAAATTAATACTTTTTTTACCAACCTTTATACAAGTTTATATAAAGGTGTATTAATGTAACGTTAGTACATGGTAATCGTCCAACTTCCGAGCATTAATCAGCATTTCTTCAATATAAAATTGTCTGCGGCGTAAGTTTTGTGAAGGTTTTGTCCTGTAAAAGTAGTAATTGATGTAGTACTGCGATAAACTTGATCTTAATTTTGTGATAGTATTGTGTTTGTAGTGTTTTTTACTTGTTTAGTGTAAGTTAAGAAATGTTTTTACGAAATCTTGCTCGATTACCTTTTAGAAGATCTATTCACGTATCTGCAAAATTAAATCAAGCCATGGGGATAGACGGCAATAATATATTGGCGGAGAGTCTAAAAAAACAGGTATTTAAATAATTTTGAATAGAGACTCTCTATTTATTTTATATAATACGAATTAATAATTATTAATTATTATTAATATTAATAAATGTTTATAAAATATTGTCATTGAAAAAAGATAAGAGCATTAATTAAGCAATTAAGGAAAAAATAGAATTGATAAAATAAGAATACATTTTCCAGGGTGTTGAATATGTCTTTGGTATTGTTGGTATACCAGTAATTGAAACATCCTTAGCTTTCCAAGCTGCTGGTCTCAAATACATAGGTATGCGCAATGAACAGGCAGCTTGCTACGCAGCTCAGGCAATTGGATATCTCACTGGTAAATACAAGTTTTTTTTATACTACAAAGTGGCAAACAAACAAGAGGCCACATGAATCCGCCAAAATGGCAAAGCAACCACTGTCCATAGACATTCACAATATTGATGGATGAGGTAACAAACATAAAGAGGATATTTCCCCTTCCTATATGTCTATTCCACCGTCATTCACATTCCCTTTCTATCCATTTCTTATAAGAAAAGGGACTAAAGTTAGGCCACAAGTAATAAAAATATAAACAATTAAATATTAATGTCCATAATAGGAGTTTTTTTAAGTTCCACAGTCTTTTCTTTCCTTGATGATATTATCACAACCACAAAAAAATAGTTAAAGCCCCTTTTGAAGTAATTTTAGCTACAGCCTTCTTGTGGCGATGCCATACAGGGATTTCTTTAGTGATCATGGAACGGTACTTAGTAAATAATACTACAATTAGTATAAATATTTAGTTTCATATTTAATTTTTAGGTAAGCCAGGAGTTTGCCTAGCAGTGTCAGGACCTGGACTTCTTCACTGCATCGGTGGTATGGCCAATGCTCAGGTTAACTGTTGGCCATTACTTGTCATTGCCGGCTCTTGTCCAGAAGACCATGAAGGAATCGGTGGCTTCCAGGAGTGGCTTCAGGTATTGTTTAAATTTATTTAGAATTTTAAATGATACTTATTAATTTTTAAAACACTATTGTCTTGAATTCTCCCACATTTTTAATCTTTCCCACCATTGTTAAAAGATTTTTATGTATTCTGCGTATGAATAATTGTGAAGAATATTATTAGCTATTTTGTTTAATTTTTATTAGTTAAATTTGTAGTAGAAAATAAAATTTCAAATGTCTTCAATTATTGATTGGAATTAAATGGTCTCTTGTATAACATTTACCTTTGTACCTGTAGCTTTACTTAAAAGATAAGATAATCACTTTTGATACCTGTTCATATTTAGTACATTACTGATAAATAGTTTGTTTTCTAATTTAGATAATTTACATTAATCGTAATATATTTAAAAAAAATAATAAATGATTGTTGAAAATTGATTTTTCCTACATTTCTATAAAAAAATTCTTGCACATTTCGCACTAATGTTGTTTTTTTACACTAAAATAACGAAACATGATATATCTACACTAATAAATCAACTCTAAAAGCTGTAATAATCGTAAGAGAATCTTCAAAAATCTATTTAACTCTATTGATCCAATGTACAATATTGCCTAAAATTGTCACAAAAAGTCCGTTTGTGGTACGAAATATTACGTTTTTTTAATTTAGGTGGAATCAAGTCGTATGTACAGTAAGTACGCGGCGCGGCCGCCGTCGGCGCGCCTCATACCGCAGCACGTGGAGAAGGCGGTGCGGCTGGCGAGCGCGGGCCGCCCCGGCGTCGCGTACCTCGACATGCCAGCTACACTACTTACGGTATGTTATCTTAATATTATACTTCTTACTGATATTTAAAAAAAACTCATAAACATTTATTTCCATATTGTTATATGTTGCAACAGCTGTTGCTGTTAGCAAAAAATCGTACAATCTATGACGACAAAAAATTTGTACCTGAACAATTAATATTTGTTTTTCCATAATATACACAAGATGTTTTTGTTATTCACTATCTACATTTATGGTCAATTTCGCTTTTAAATATTGAAATTTACATTTAAAAGATGTAACAGCATATTATAAGGCCACACATACTACTAACGCCATTAAAATTTTGACATCTAACAAATTGTAAGCAGCACTTAGGAAGCATACTATTTTAGATTCAGAATTCGGCACCAGACTTTCAGATCAATTAAATTTAAATTAAAAAAAATCGAATTAAAGTTTCAAGATATCTCCAATAGCTAAAAATTCTCTTATAGGCAGAAGTAGATGAAGACAAGGTACCTTTAGATTATTACAATGCGGGTGCCATACACCCAGCGCACCCGGACCCGGCGCTGGTGGAACAGGCGGCTGAACTGTTGGCGAAGGCCGAGCGGCCGCTGGTGATAGTGGGCAAGGGCGCCGCGTACGCGAGGGCGGAGCACGCCGTTAGACAACTTGTGGATAACACTAAAATACCATTCCTGCCTACTCCGATGGGTAAGATTTTGTTGTAACATTTTCAGGGCATCTATGTTTATGTATATTTCATTATAAATTTGCGACTTAGAGCGCGCACACCTTTATTATCGCACAACGTTTTAGTCGCTTTGATTCCTATGAGGTTGTATGGAGATACGTACACTAATCGATTTTAAGTTATGCAACTAAACAGTTGGCTGCGAAACAATCGACAATCGCGAAACCGTTTTGCGATACTTTAGACAAAGATGTTCTCCCGCTCTTAAAGTCTAAACCAGAGGTTACGAATTTTCTTTTCTCCTAGACCCCTTTCAAGGTTAAAACGCCAAGTCTCTATTCTTCGAAAGCAGATAGCATTTTCATTGACCTCTGCAACTCGATTATATCCGATATCCGATTTTGTTTCCGGACATCATGGACTCCCTGGGGTCCAACTAGACCACTATGGGAATCGCTGAACAAATTCTCTATATACTTTATCCAAGAACCTTTTTGATTTAATACAAATCATACTGTCATAATATGGGTATAAGCAGTCAATTAAATTGTTTTTATACGCTTATTCTATCATTTGTTAATTTAAAGTTTATTTATAACTTGAGTTTTAAAATACAAAAAAGACAATTTATATCTTTGTTCTAGCTATACATTAAGACATAAATGACAGTAATAAAAATGAGGGATATTTATTATAAAGACAGTAATAAATGACGAACTATCGTTAAGAGAATTAGAAAAATAACTAATCTATACTTAGAGATAAAAAAGGAATTAAAAATGATAAGATTTTAAACACACGTGAAAATATTGTGTAATAAATACACAGAAAGCGATAAACATTTGAAAATGCGCTTAAAAGTTAAAATGGAAGTTCTTTTAATGTTTGTCTTTTTAATACTATATTATATATCTAATGGAAGCTAAATATTTTAGGTAAAAAATAGGTACAAATCTTTAGCGCTAATCTGTTTGTTTTGTTTTTAAGTAAATACACTCATGAATTTTTAATCTATTGTGAAGAATTATACTTACTTATACTTATTCTTATACTTCTTATATTCATTTATCTTTACCGTTTTTTCTCTCTAGTTTATCTGTAATATTTTTAAACTATCCGTATGACAATGTTAAAACTTTACTGTTTACATTTAAATGCTCAAATGAAAATGGCCTTGGTTCATAGTTCAGAATTAAAGTAACCATGGCAACCGTCTTTCCCGCTTGGCTTGTAGTTTTTGTCTCTTTCTCGCAGGTAGATCACTCATTAAAGTAGTGCGTACGATTGTGAGCCTTATTCGTTATTAGGTAAGGGCGTGGTGTCGGACGATTCGCCGTGGTGCGTGTCCGCGGCGCGCACACAAGCGCTGCTGCAGGCGGACGTGGTGCTGCTGCTGGGCGCGCGCCTCAACTGGATGCTGCACTTCGGACAGCCGCCGAGGTACGCGCCCGGAGTTAAAGTCATACAGGTATACATCGTTCTATCTCTTTCTCCCTCTCAGTCTTCTCTTGTTTCAAAGGAAACAAGAGAGTGAGAGATATCTTGCATTACCTTTACCCTTTTTATGTGATTGTATGTACTGTTGCGGAAATCCATAGTGTTCAACTTTAACTTGTTTCTTGTAACGAAAATAACCAATAAGGTAGCAGTCATTAGCGTAAACGGGACAATAATTATAAGCAATTGGCTCTGTATTTAAGTGACCTTATTTCTTATTAATTATAATAATAAAATATAGCCTATGTTACTCACAGATAAATTATCTTTCTGATGGTAAAAGAATTTTTAAAATCGGCCCCGTAGTGTTTGAGTCTTTTCAATACATACAAAAATACAAATCTTTCCACTTTATAATATTAGTATAGATAAAAATTGTTCCGCGTCGTTTTCATTAAATATAGGTATTTTTAAGCAACTTTATCTTTTAAAGTGGACCATCACTAAATACCCTGACTGTACTTATTGTTTGAAAATGTTAAATTAAAAATCTACTGATAATTTTATTAATTTAAGTACAGTCAGAGCAGTTTTTATTTATAGCAGACGTGAGGTATGATTAGGTCATATGTATTATTATGTAACTCACGTTTTTGTTAAAACGTTGAATATATGTTTCACAAGTAAATTAAAATTGTTCAAACACATAAATAAAATGTTGTTGTTTTTTGGTATTTCGACGTATAATTTTAATGGAATTTTTTGCACTTCGCCCTTCAAAGATACAATGTTAAACAATATTAAATGTTCACGGGTCGACATTTGTATGCAAAAAACGCAAATTGATTGGATAAGAAAACTTTAGTATAGTTAACGGAAGTTTTAATAATGCAAATTATGGCTGATAAAACTGCTATCTGGTAATTTCATGCAGCAAATTATTTAGCATGTCAGGATAAATAAAAAACCGCTAAAAAAACGATCTTCCGAAACAAAAATTAACTAAGGATTTTTTCGTACAATAGTACAGATTTTATTTCCTTTGTGTTCTTTCTCAAGGTGGACATATCAGCGGAAGAACTGAACAACTCAATAAAATCCGAAATAGCGGTACACTCCGACATCAAGCCCTTCGCTGAGGCTCTCACACAGAAGTTGTCCGAGAAGAAGTTCAGTCTGCAGCCAGCTGGAAACAAATGGTGGCAAACGCTGCAAGACAAACAGAAGAAAAACACTGAATTTGTTGAGGTAACGTACTCTAAGTTTCGACAGTTAAAAACCCTAGTAAATTATTATTATACGTTTTCTATTGCTATCTATGTTCACACTCTTGTATGACTTTATTCACATGAAATTATGAAAATTGTATTGTTTTGTTTTAATTAACTATAGTTATTTTGCTTCTTTCCTGCTCTCATGGCAACTATTCCAATTTAGTCACACCATAAATGAAGTAGCGTGAAAATATATAGCCTATAGCTTGTGTGTGAAGCTGTTTATACCAAAAATGTATTCTAACATCCTACATACCAAAAAATGTTTTAATCATTATCTATACTAATATACACTGTAACAATAAATAATACTATAAAATGTTTGTAGGCCCAGGCGAACGACAAGTCTGTGCCTCTCAACTACTACGCAGTGTTCAAATGCGTGCAAGCGAACATCCCCAAGGACGCGGTGATCGTGAGCGAGGGCGCCAACACCATGGACATCGGCCGCGGCGTGCTGCTCAACACCCTGCCCCGTCACCGCCTCGACGCAGGCACCTTCGGCACCATGGGCGTTAGTATACACACGACTCGTTATAACTCTAAACTTTAACATAATAACTCTAAACTGTTTCACCATCATAACTCTAAACTGTTTCACCATCATAACTCTAAACTGTTTCACCTTCATAACTCTAAACTGTTTCACCATCATAACACTAAACTGTTTCACCATCATAACTTTAAACTGTTTCACCTTCATAACTCTGAAATGTTCCACCATCATAACTCTAAACTGTTTCACCATCATAACTCTAAACTGTTTCACCATCATAACTTTAAACTGTTTCACCTTCATAACTCTGAAATGTTCCACCATCATAACTCTAAACTGTTACACCATCATAACTCTAAACTATTTCACCATCGAAACTCTGAAATGTTCCACCATCATAACTCTAAACTGTTTCACCATCATAACTCTAAACTGTTTCACCATCATAACTCTAAGCTGTTTCACCATCATAACTCTTAATTAATATTGTATGAAATGTGTTACTCAGGTGGGACCCGGGTTCGCGGTGGCGGCGGCCATGTGGTGCCGCGACCACGCGCCCGGCAAGAGAGTCGTCTGTGTGGAGGGAGACTCCGCATTCGGCTTCTCGGGTTAGTGAAGTCTATTTACTAAGTACACTGTTTTTACATTTCTCTGATATAATATTTTATTCTGCGTTTTACAGGTATGGAGATAGAAACTATGTTCCGTTACAAATTGCCAGTGATAATAATAATAGTGAACAACAATGGAATTTATAGTGGCTTCGATAAAGATACAATGCAGGAGTTCCAGTCGTATGGCGACGTTTCTCAAAGGTACTAATTTGTTCGTTTAACTTTAGACTTTCGAAAATCTGTTGTAACGAAATATTCTAAGAAGTGAATGCAGCTTACGCATTTTGTTTTAAACTTAAGTAATTTAGTTTTATTTGTGAAAATGAAATGGTAAAAAAATAAGAAAATATTTGTCTATGGCTCTATTGAAAATTTTAGTATTAAGTTTGGAATGAATTAATTACTTAAAATGATACATACATTTATGTTCTTAACATTACTTTTATAAAGATAATTTTTTCATAGGTTCATTTCTAATATCCATTGAATTAATAAATGTTATATTTAATATTTGTTTCCAGCACTCCGCCTACAGCATTAACTCCCGAAGTGCACTATGAGAAGATGATGGAAATGTTCGGAGAGTCAGGCCACCTTTGTCGCACAGTGGAAGACATAGAGGCAGCTGTCAAGAAAGCCTTGTCAGTGACTGACAAGCCGAGCATCATCAATATTCTGATAAATCCACAATCTAATAGAAAACCCCAAACATTCAATTGGCTCACGGAGTCTAAACTGTGATAATTATACTTTTGTAAGCATTTTGTCTATAATTCCTTTTAATTTGTATTTTTGTATACTTAAAAAAAATTATATGTTGTACAATTCAATAAAGGTTTAAATGATTGTAATCTATCCTAATATTATAAAGAGGAAAGATTTATATTTTTGTATGTATTGAAATAACTCAAAAACTCAAAGCTATGTTGTCAGTAACAGGATACATTTATTAATTTCTCGCGGACCAAGTCGCGAGCAACAGCTAGTATATAATGTTTATGAACAAATTTGATTTGTTTGAGACAATATCATAAGAATAAGAAATACTTTACTTTTTTAAAATTGTAAAATATTTTAGAATCATAATTAATCATTTATTGAGAAAGAAAAGAATTATAATTATTTATATATGCTAAATAACTTTGATAAGAGCTTTTCCATCGACTGAAAAATTCTAGATTATTTTTAATCTTTTTTCTATATTTTTTCTTTATCAAGCGTTTTAGTACAGTGGAATATTTTATATTTGGATAAAATAAGAAACAAATACGAATGTTTATATTGTCTGTAATTGAATTACTTGTCACATCACATGTTTGTATATGGTGAACTTAAAAATATTTATTAAATACAATTTATAAACTAAATCCCTGTATTATTATTTTAACTCTGTTAGCAAATTAATCTGCTGTGTTGTCTGTCCAAAGCAAATTAACATTGTTGTGTGGTTTGTTCAGATCTTGCTGAGACATCCAATCAAAAAATTCTCTATCACAGTTTGTGCTGAAACAAGAAATACACTATTAAACACTTATATTCGCATTTATATGTATTAACATTTTTATGGATAAACCCAATCATAAATAATAGATTGATCTAAAAATTAAATTTAGAAGAGGATTGAAACAAGACTAAATCCTACTATTAGGTTGAATTAAATTGATTGATGAGTCTGAATCAGTGCTAAAAACTACAACAATCTTACAAATACAAAAGTTTGGATGGATGTTTGATGATGTTTACTAAATATACCCAAAATTGTTTAACATATCTTGCTGAAATTTGGCACAGACATAGAACATAGTCTGGAAGAACACATAGGTATCTGTTTTTTAACTCTGCCCGGACGAAGTAAAAGGCTACAACTAGTTAATAAAACATACCCAGTTTGCAGTTGTTGGTAATGGTTAATGTGTAAGCATCTTGATCATAATCATTGGTAAGAGTGAGGTCAGCTCCACGGATGAGGAGCTCATTGCAAGTGTACGGAAAGTCTGCTGCCGCTGCATACATCAGAGCTGTGCTACCAGACTGAAAAGTAAACAACTTGTTAACTCCTATAGAACATAAGTAATCAATAAAAGATTTATTAGTTCCTTACAAAATATAAGTTTGACAATATCCTTTGGTTTAATACATTTTAGTATATACTTGTGCTATGGTACAAAAGAAAAAACTTAGTGTTAAATATTACCGAAGGCATAGTGCAAATGTGTAATGTTTTGAGAGTTACATGTATAATGTATGATTCAAACTAAAGATATAACACTAATGATGATTCATATTTTTATTTAAATCAATATTCAAGGGTAATGCAATGAAAATCCCATTTCATGCAAAATAGTGTCATTAAATGTAAAAAAATTAAGTTTCTTACATCATCCTGTATGTCAGCGTCAGCACCTTCATTTAAAAGAAATTTCACAACCTCATGGTGCCCCCCAGCTGCGGCTAGGTGTAGTGCCGTCTCCCCCTCCGGGCCCCGCATGTTGACATTGGCACCACTCCTAATTAACCACATTTTAATTACAAATATTATTAATCAATACTGTAAATATTATTTAATATTAAACTTCGAAATTAATTTAAAAAAATAATCTTGATATATTTCGTAATTATATTATTTTTCACTTGGTACACTTTATTTTAAAACAGAATACAAATAAAATTATAAAAAAAGAACAAAGAAAGTGAATTTAAGAATTCGAAAATCTTATAAGTCGCATAAAGAAAACCATACAGATGTAAGAAGAACAAAGGAAAATAGAATATGGCAGTTTTACCAAACAAGGTCCTGACAACTATTTAACTGGCCGTAGCTTGCGGCCCAATGTAATGCAGTGAGCCCATGTTCATCAGTAATATCAACATATTGCTCCAGTTTCACGTCTTCTCGAGTTATTTCTCCGCGCCCAGCCTTTGCGTGAAAGCTACAATCGGGTTGAGGCAATTCGAGGACTCGCGCCTGCGTATTACCTACAATCGTGACCTTGAACACTTCAAACTTATTCAACAAGAAATTGATATATAATCAATAGAGCAGATTCCTATCTCTTGAATACTAGATGTATAATTACCTCTCTGTAAATTAGTTAGTGCAGTACACTGAGCGGATTTGTATGGCGTAAAAGCACTTTTTCGCACACCATTCAAATTAGGTGCCCAACGCTGATAACCTCCACTTCCACTTTTACTGCTATCCTGACTTCCAGAGTCAAACTCATATTTAAAACTTTCAAGATTGTCCTGCTTTTCCTGTTTAATATCAATATTTTTCCCTTCGTGTTTGACAGCAACGCTCTCTTCCATTTTTATTTTCCAAAGGCAAATCGACCACAGATTAAATTGAACAAGAAAGAGAGCGCCAATCATAAATTTTATTTAGTTGATCAATGTAAAATTTTATACATTTCACTTTTCCAGGGCCAATTTATAGATATAACAATAACAATTTATGTCCTTTTTAGGGCTAGGATTTTTTTTAAGAAATGTATGATATATGTACATTAGATTAGACGAAAGCGAAACCCAACCTTTTGTTTCACTTCAAAACTAAGGCCAGATTACATTATACCAGTGCAGTAAGACAGTAGCACATCCCTGTGATAAACTGTTTAGACCATACAATAGTATTTGTTGATAGTGTAGATTATTCTTCATTTTTATTCAAATAAACAAAAGTATCTAACAAAAACTTTGACAGATTAAAATGGTAGAACTATGGTCGCTGGAGCTACATTTTTCCATTCACAGTCCAGATAAAAAATCCCGTTTATAAGCAACGTGTTTCCTTACAATTGCTCGGTTAGCTTCGGACTGGCTGATATCAGCGCTAATTTGAGGCAGTTTTAAAACTGGCTAAAGTTTGTTTTAGGCTACTGACTTATTGTATTGGCATAATATAAATCAACCAAAAGTAGACAAATGGCATCGAGTTGGCAGCACTGAATAATTTTTCAATCAAACAATCTGAAGAATTCAAATGAATGTAACCGACAAAGAAAGAGAATATAATCACTAAGTTTTACTTTTATCGTGATAACTGAAGCTTAATGGGAACTTGATTGTATTGTTTTAAAGTTTAAGCTTTTAAAATGTCTTCGACTGGTTTTCCAGGACAACAACAACAACAAGTACCCCCAAATTTAAAACAGGAATTACAAAATGAATTAACTGCTGCTAGTCAGTTGTTGTGGGAAATGTATGTATTGTTGCAGAATATATTTTTTAATTTATCGCACATTGTGTTGAGTTAAAAATCGTAAACAATTCTGAAAGTCTAGTTTCTATTAAACTCATTTTTGGTATTCGAAAAATATATTTGAAACCATTTAAAGCAATGTATTTTTTTTTCAGAAATACTCAAACTCAACATCTCAAACAGTTTACTCAACCTGGTGGACAATTTGAAACAAGCATTTCACAGGTACTTATAATCATCACAATACTTATATTGATATTGTAAAGACAGCAACTCACCTTTACTTTTAACCGTTAACCTATTCAGTTAAAAATATGTACAAATGAAAAAATAAATGTCATCTCTAAAAATCTATAAATAAGTCGGAAAAACAGATTTGTAGAGTTTAACTAACTGACATTTTTATGTTTTTTTTTTTTTATAACAAGGTGGCAAACGAGCAAGCGGCCACCTGAAATCGCCAAAATGGCGAAGCGACCGCTGCCCATAGACATCCGCAATTGCACATGCGTTGCCTACCCTTGTGAGACGGAGGAGGAGACGCACATAAAGAGGATATTTCCCCTTCCTATGCATCTCCTCCACTGTCAAATCCACTTCCTCTTCCCAACCTCTTATAAGAAAAGAGTGGTAAAAAGAAAGGGACTTAAATTAGGCCTCCGGCACCACACTCATCAGACGAAACACGATATTGCTTCCATTTCACGCCTGTCTTCTGTGTGGTCGTGGTATTACACCGGGCGTGCCGGCCCATTCGTGCTAAGATGTTAAAGCGGGCACTACCACTGTTAAAACTGAATGGTCATGTCCAGTTAAAACTAATTGTGTGTTGCTGGCTTTAGTCGGAATAAATTAGCCTCTAGTCATGGGTTTATGTGCTTTAGGATAAATTTGCTACTGTATCATAAGGAAGTCATAACACATGTCATACTGAACATAGGCCATATTTAAAGTCATGCACTATTTGGCATTTTAAGAGTACATGTTGTTTGTCATACTAATGTTATAAGTGTGAAAGTTTAGATGGGTGGATGTTTGTTAAAGTTTGTAGCCTAAACAAGTACATGGATCTTAATGAAATTTGGTATAGATGTAGAGGATAGTCTGGAAGAACATTATAGGCTACTTGGTTTTGGTTTTTTTAATACCACAAGGATGGGGTCGCGGGCGTAAGTGAGTACTATATGATATCAAAATAAACATTTGTAAAAGTATCTTGTGACTCAGAATATTGAATGGGTTGCTGTGCGGAACAATTTTAGGTCTAACATTGAAACAGATACAAAGACAGCACTGCACAGGTGATATTAAGCTGCTAATAAAATTGAATCCAGAATTTGGGGGTCTTTGAGTTTGAATTTGTAAGAAGTTAGAAATCCATTGCATTATAATGAATTGTAAAAAATTGTTCCAGAGTTTACATGCCCTTGACATAGTGAGAGGTTTGCCTGGCTTCAAGTAAAAGGAACTCGAGAAACATGTAATCTGTTATCCCCATCTTTATCCCACTCTATGTAACCATAAATGTTGTAAATAAAAAGTTAACTTTTTTTATGGATATTTTATTTATATCTTTAAACTACTTAACAAAATTACACATCACATATAACATAAATATTATCTGAAACATGTTTAACATGCTAGATTTCCATTTTTCAGTACAAAAAGAAACGGAAATAACTTTTCAATAGACATGGACAGGAATTATAGTATCAAATATTAAAAAAATTAAAATCAGTTCATTGTAAAATTATATCAAAAACATTGATTTTCATGATTATTTTATTTAATGCGTTCCATAAATATTATCTATGCCTGACAAACAATAATATGAAAGTAAATTAACTTTACCAATTCCTGTTAATGCAGGTTAATATTGCATATAGACTTTTAATAACATTAACATCAAAGAAATCTAAAAAAAAACAATAGTATGCAATTGACTTCCTAAACTTAAATACACAGATTAAAATATATTTTGTTAAAAAGTATTTTACAAATAATTTTATTTCAACTGCAACATGCCACGATCATAACATTATGTATAATAATAGAACTTAAAACAAATCTAATTTAAAACTTACATTATCTTCATTTCATAAAAAGTTTCCTATCGCACTTATACTAGGCCTATTACAACTTAGGAGTCGGCAAATAATCACGTGATGTTTGAATAACTTTTTAAACCCCAGTTTAGACTTCCCCCCCCCCCTCGATTCCTCTTATTTTAGAGGACGAGAGGGACGTAATCTTTTAATATTGTTTTTAAAGTTAAATAACATTGAATTAACGTCGTAATAATACATGTGTTGTTTTAGCCCTCTCGTGATTTTGTCGGACCCCATTTCAAGTCCCACACGATTACTGGACGACCCCTTATATAAAAATGAATAAAATAACCCACAATTATTAAAAGATGTTAAATCCTCGATATTGCGATTTTCGTTATTGTTATTTGCACTCCGAAACATGTTATGTGTTTGCTTCACCAGTATAAACTCAAGGAATGGGTTTACATTTTCACGGGTTTTTTTATCAAGCCATACGGTAACAGCTTACAGACTAGACACATAAACGTTACGATAATAATCAATGTTGAAAGATTGCCGTCTTTTCTTTAAACCTTTGTCTCCGCAGAGCCTTTTCTTCAGCTTCGCGTCGTTTCTCTTCCTGTTCTTGAATAATTTCATCGTGGAATTTGTTTTTCTTTGACAATTCTTCAATTTTCGCTTCGAAGAAATTCTTTGCCCCGTTGACACCTACTTGGTCGACGTTGATTTCTGTTAATCGTGCCAGCGCTTCTAAACCGGAGTCCATTTCAAGTTCGCCTAGCCGTGCCTTCCTACAAACAAAATTAACAAATTAAGTCACTTCTTAATTTCATTATTAGACTCTACTCCTTTTTTAATTATATTAATTTGTCACGCTTTTAACAAATAATTTACGTAATTTACTACTAGTAAATAAAATGAGATTGCGATGAAGTAATGGGTTTTCCCTTAAAAAAAGCACGGTACTCGTTATAATTAAAAATGTAAGTACTCGTTGCAAAGATCAAGCCAGAGGCTGTATAAATAATAGGTTAAGGAAGTGTCGTGTTAGTTAAGATCAATAAATTGCCAGGCGTCACGCAATACACGCTAAATGGTAGGCAATTAGATGTTTATTCTCAAGATCAACACGGGAAACATTTTCTACTGTTTAAATAACACAAAGCATACAATATTTTCATTTGCAATCAACATCCATCAATTCTTAACTGTGTTGTAGTTTCGACGTAATTAGTTACCATATTTTAATCAAGGTTTCTTTCCAAACAAATGTTATATTGCTCGTGTAATTTCCCAGTAGCCAAACTTTTAAACGTTTTGATGAACAAAACCTTCATCAATAACAACAATGTTATATTGTTGATAATGAAATTACAACTTTAATGTTAGCGTAGTTGTCTGGTGCTGGATTTCTGAGGTATCCAATTTATTTTGTTATTACCTAGCGATTTATTAGCGTTAGGTTGACCTGTTTCAATGGAGTAAAATCCAAATTACGCAATTCGGAAACGCACTTCATGAATTTATTGAACCAAATTCACTAAAGAAAGATTAAACATAGCTGGGAAACCGGCCTTTAGTAATTAACGTTCACTAACCGGTATATTAGTAAGAATTCTCTGAAGCTGATCTTGTTGTCGCCGTCTTCGTCTACTTCTGTGATCATAGCTTTAAGGCCGAGGTGCGTCTGCGGCGCGCCCAGCCGCTCCATCATTCGCTTCACTTCCGTCAGGTCGAGGAAACCGTCGCGCCCCTCGTCGAACCTGGAAATCAAAACATGTTGCTGCTATGTACTTGTTTTCTATACTAATATTATAAAGAGGAAATATTGTTCATTTCATTGTAATGAATAGGCTCAAAAACTATAGAGTGGATTTTAAAAATTCTTTCACCGTTAGAAAGGTTTGTCTGTGAATAATATAGGCTACATTTTTTTATTTCTTTATTACAATTTTTAAATCTCACGCGGTCGTAGTCGCAGGCAAAAGCTAATTGTATATAAATCTAATGATTTTTTCAATGGTCAGTGCAAAGTGTAAGAATAAAACAATATGTCCGGTTAATAATATTGCTTGCTTGTTGATTGCTTAATCTTAACTACCAACGTTTTGAATTATTTTTTTTAGTCTTCACTATTTAGAGTAGACAGAAATATACTGAACTGTTTTTGTTTAAACTTTGATAGAAAGTTCTTAGAACACCAACTAAAATTCCGTTCTACGTTTGAAAATTAATATGTGAAACAAAGCAATCTTTAAAAAAAGTTGTGTATTTGAAATAAGAACAAAACGCAGTCGAAGCTACATGACGTATTTAAGTTAATTAAGACCGGTTACAAGTTAACAACATGTAATGCACATCAACAACTCGCAAAGCCGGCGTTACCTTATTTATACCGATCTATTAATAAGTAACTAAACATAATCTAAATACATTGTTATCTTTGCCTTTGGGATAATTTTTTATAAGTCACTCCGATTTTATAGCTGCTTTTCTAAATAACATATGTTTTGTAATCAAAGCTATATTTTAGGGTAACTGTCTAAAATCGGTATAAATCTCAAATATTGTTTTAACATCTTAAGGAGGGTATATGCATCTATGTAAATGCAAGGAATATTTTGCATTTAATACTAATTAAATGTGTTAAGTATAAATAAAATTTGAATTTTATATCTTAGCTGCAGAATTTTGCTTCTAAATGTTTAAAATGATATAAATGTTTATAATTAACAATTTAATAATAATAAACTCTCCTAACCGGTGCTGTGTTGAAATTAATTCGACAAAGTTGCGTTGCGTTTAGGAAGTGCGTAGAAATCGGCGGGAAATAGACCTGTCCTCAATTTAAAACCCCGTTTTAGAACACAAGAAGATTGGTTCCTTTACACGCAAAAACATAACAGCCGATTTCGTTATACAATAAATTATGAATTTTAGGCGGCAGGAATTCCTCTTTAAATATTGATTTAACCACTAATCATAGATTTGTAAGCAAAACGATACTAAGCAACTCTTATAGTGGCCATTTAACAGCGTTACAGTATAATAGATACATTTTTGACATAACAAACAACCTACATAGAAAGTAAAACAGTACACAACTGTATTTAACGTATGTGCGTAGACTTTAAATACATACCTAAATTAGACCATGTTAGATATAAAGCCAATATTATAGGCCTAGTGCGGACTGCGAGGTGAGAAGGACCGTTGCATAAGAAGTTATTTAGTTTCATAAAGAAAGTGTCTCTGTAGACTGAATGCAAATATGTGCATTTGAGTATACTTTCTCGCTATCATCACATCTTCTAATGGATATCTTATTACTGTATCATAAAGAGTTTGTTACGCAAAAAATGTAATTACCAAGTCTTAATACAGATTTCTAAATGTCTAATAATACTGGTAGCAGATTTCTTGTAGCTCGTGTCCTTGAAGATTCATAACAGCTAATTTGCAATTTAACAATTTAACAGTGGTAGTGCCCGCTTTAACATCTTAGCACGAATGGGCCGGCACGCCCGGTGTAACACCACGACCACACAGAAGACAGGCGTGAAATGGAAGCAATTCCGTGTTTCGTCTGATGTGAGTGTGGTGCCGGAGGCCTAATTTAAGTCCCTTTCCCTTTACCACCCTTTTCTTATAAAGAGAGGTTGGGAAGAGGAAGTGGATTTGACGGTGGAGGAGATGCATAGGAAGGGGAAATATCCTTTTTATGTGCGTCTCCTCCTCCGTCGGATAAGGGTAGGCAAAGCATCTGCAATTGCGGATGTCTATGGGCAGCGGTCGCTTCGCCATTTTGGCGATTTCTGGTGGCCGCTTGCTCGTTTGCCACCTTATGTTATAAAAAAAAAAAAAAGCTAATTTGCAAGTCAAATGTCATACTTATTTTTTTAAAACAATATCTTTGTCTATACAAATGACTCGTATTTCTTAGTTTTAGACCGTAAAGTGACTTCAAAATAAGAGTTTAGTTTTGAAATAACTTAAAACAAATAATAAATGACTGGTTAATTTTTTCGAAACCGTTCGAATTAGTCAAAGTATATTTGGTAAGGTATACAGAATATTAAAACGTATCCTATATGAAATATTTGATGCACGTCTATCTTTATTACTAGTCGTGTGCATGTCCCCCTCTATCCGTTAACGCTACGCCACGGCTTTGATATCTCTGATCGCAGGAAATACAACAAACAATATTATCGCATCCTTTTAGGGTAACTTCACAAGTACAAAATGCTTCTATTGTAATCCAAAGTAAAATTATACTCGTTGCGGTGTCAACATCCTATTCAAGAGGTATACCACGACACGGTACGCTATTCAAGTGCATTCACTGGCAAAAACATGTAACACCAGTCGCCATAGCAAGAAGTAGGGTTAGCAAATTTTATTGTTTCGAGACTAAGTCTGACTTCCGACCTGGAAATTGAATGGAACATTGTATTCTGTAATGTTTAGCCAATCGCCTAGAAACCTGCTTTATGGTCTGTTTTAAAAAAATACAATTACACGCAAGACACGGAGTTTAGAGTTACGTTGAGACGGGTTACGGCTCACGTCAATTGGATTATATTCTCGGATTTATATTATGGAAAAAATTATGCATGCATCAAACACGTACGATGCGCTTAGCTCCTTTCTTTTATGTACTTGCGATTCGTGTTTTATTTATGAAATTATCCTAAAAGTTGAAAGTTATTATTTTTACGTACCGCTCTGTTAAATTTTGTTCGATTAACGTAGTAAATTTTGAGAACTAAATACAACGATTTGGTGCAAGACGGATTTATGTACTTATTTACAATTTTAATGTTTATTTTATTGTACTATGAAAATGATAAAATAAAGTATTCTCATTCATAAAGAATCAGAAATCTTCAAGACAATTTTACTTTTAAAAACTTTCTGGTTTTTATGTTTTATTCATTTTGTTTTGTAGGCGTCACATTGTTTCTAAATCCCGTCTTCAAAAATATTCTCAACCTAATATGGCTGCACTTCTATCCTCATGTCAACAATTATGTATCCTTTGTTGTTTTTCTAATAGTTCGCGGCGATTGTCAAGCCAGCGTCCACCTGAATTCGCTAAACTTAACTTGCGTTTAACATCTGTAGTAAATAGGTACTATGAAGATAACTTTAAGAGAATTTATATCCTAGCCAGAGCAGGTTATGGTCAATAAAATGCGGAAAAGATTTCTTTCGCAGTGAGAGTTGTCTGCGCCTTACAAAACCTATCCCAGCCGCTCCTTATACGATCCCAGTTTATTCACTTTAGATTCCGTTTCCAGACAAGATAAGTAATAAAACTTTTAATATGCCTCGTTCTATTTTATTAATGTTCGACCTAAACTCGAATGTCTGTGCGTCTATAAAATGGCAGTAAATTGAGGTCAGTGATAATGAAATGGCAACGCCTCGCCCTACTAACATCGCAGAATAAACTACATCACCTTTGCTCCTTCGAACATTTGTCATAGACACTAATTGAACTAGGCTTTTTAGATTAGGTTTTAATTGTCACAGAAGACAATATCTACGATGATGCAATACTATTTTTATTAACAACGGTTACTAAAACATTTTTAACGTCAAGAAACTTGTATAGTATTTATCATCTTTCGCCCGCGACTTCGTCGGCTGGATTTAAAAACGAACATAAATAGCGTAAGAGTTTTTCCAAAGTATACTCTACATTTATGCAAAATATCATCAAGATCCGATAGCAGGCTAATAACTCTAACAAATATTAATTCATCTTAACTTTCGCATTATAACATTGGTAAGAAAGGTAGGTATCCAGTTCATCTCATAACAAAAATAGATAAACAAATTAGGGCAGATACACGTCGCCAAGCCACAAGCAACAACAGAAGCGGTACTTGAACCCACAGTATGAGAGGCTCTCAAAAGTGCTCAACTTGTTATGCAAAACTTTTTTTTTCATAATTATGTCAAGGTGTGCAAAATGTTAATTAATGTTTCTAAAAAGATTTTTATCTTTTTACCCGATAAAGCTATAAATTCTTATACCCATATAAAAATTTTGCGTGGTTGGATTGCCCGCCCACTAAACTATACCCGATCACCTTTAAATCAGTGAAGGTGAGTCCTTTTCTAGGTGATTGTGCCATACAAAAGCTTTAATATCATTTCTTGTAATGATATACGCTATGGAAATGTTTAAAAAAAAAAACAAATCGCATCTTTACTTCTGAAACTTGAAGATAAATGAATAAGTAATCGTAATTACGTTGCATTTTATTGAAATAACGAATTTAAATTCTATTACATTATCAATCGAATATTTACAGTTGCGACATGCAATAAAATAGAAATTAAAACTCGCACGCAAATTTAACAAACCCGATATTTTATTGCATTACATAACAACACTAAATACTGTATAAAATAACACATAACTGTTTAAATATAGCCTGTTAAATTTACACACTGCCAGATATGATTCATTAGAAATTAATGCAAATTTAAATTGCATAAGATCTTTTTAATAGGAATGGTAAATTTATAAGTTTATTATTTTATATAAATAACCATAAGTTTGAATTTAAATAATCATAAAGTTATGCAGAACAAATGCAAAATGAAATCATCTTATGTTTAATTTGATATCAAATATTTGGAGCTAATAACACCATATTTCTTACAAAGCCTAGGATTGAAATGGTCTTAAATTGCGATAGTAGAGTAGTCACTTGTTTCTCTATAAGTCGCAGTTACGTTTGCTTAC